AACACAGATTATAAAGGTTATAAATTGAATTGTATTTCTTGAAAATTGACAGTTTTTCACAGAGAAGGTAAATAAAGTGTTTTATGAGCACTTTACAGTGCACTATAAAGTGGAGTCCGTGCCCGAATTTAAGTTATAGTTTACTGCCGGCAAAATTAAAAGGTCAGTACAATATTCATATAAACTTTTTAAATATTGGCGTTGAGAAACTATTTCATACTTTTGTATTTTTGTATTGAGATAATAAAATAATTTTCACATTTAGTATTATTTTACAAGAAAGGCACTTTATTTTAACGATGGTATGACATTTGACAACTGTCAACTAACTTAAAACTAACTTCATGTATATACACATGTATAGGCTTTTATTTTGTTTATTCGGCGTCGTGTACCACAATTAATAATAAATTCTCAATTTTAGCACGTATATCATAAATAAATATTTTTTCGTTAAAAAAAAGGTTTTCCAAGGAAATAACTTTATGAATGCGTATAATTTTTTTCAGGCTTGGTAATCCAATAGTGTGTAATTTTCCACAAAGGCAAACATAAAAAATACAATAAACGATGAAAACAAATATATATTTTTTATCAAGCAATTTATTCCGGAAGCATTTTGAATAATAAAACTTTCCTTTGTACCATAAACCTATTGACTTTTAATAAATTGCTTTGCAACGGGTTTTGATACTTTTTAATTTACTGGCGCTACGAGTTTCCACAACATTTAATAATCCAATGCCTTGTAAGCGTTGAACTTTATCGAGTGCCAATAAATATTTCATATGGCCGCAATTTATGAACAAAACGCGTTCCTTTATTTAGAAATATTGGTGTAGTTTATAAAATAACAGAAGTATCCAATTTGATACGCAATTAAACGATTACAATTTCACAATGAAAGGGATACATTATTTTGACAACAATTTAAAATTGCATTTAAAAATAGTTACTAAAAACCAAATGGTATGTAGGTAACAAGTTTTACAAACGCCATACGAGTTTATTTTTGCACAAGCGTAGCTTGCGAAGAAGTTTCTAAAACGAATTGCATTTTATAATTTATCTACGACGAACACAAAATATTTTTTTCTTTTTCTTTTTTAACATTTTATCTGAAAAAAAAAGTGAGGTTAAAAACGCTTGACAGTGGTTTTAACCTCACTTTTTTTTTCATCTGACATCTGTCAAACGATTTTAACCTCACTTTTTCCAAATTAATAATAATAACTTGAAGCTAACTTTAGCCCGTGTATTAACTATTTTTTGTCGAGGGGTTAATAAGATTTTATTGCGATTGTTGATAATTATTGACCAACATTACTCCCTATATAGATAAAATATTCCTTTCCCTGTATATCATCCCTTCCCTAGCAACAGCTGTTATCTGGTAAGAAATAAGGCATTTTTTTCGGTACCAATGACGACGATACATTGTGATTGAATTTAAATGTTAAAGTCAGATTTAAACAATAAAACGTAAAATTTAAATAATTATGTATAATATTCATTGTATATGTCATGACTTTTTTTCAATTTTGTAAAATATCGCTTAACAAAAAAACAGTGTTTTCCTCGCGTGGAATCTCAATTGCTCTCTCAATGAATTCCTTCCCTCGCCTGTCGGCTCGTTCGAAAACTTTTATCATGGGGAGTAATTCCTAAGATTCCACGATTGGTAAACTATTTACTATATATAGTAAATCGTTTACACTGTTACAAAGTAGCCCGTGTATTAAATTTTTTATTAGACGGTTTTTTAACATTAACAAGTTATAATGTTTCCTATTTGGTATTGTTTTGTCAGTATAATTTTTTTAATACATCAAAAAAAAATTCAGTAATTTTTTTTCTGCAGCAAAAGATTCTGTTGATTTTTTTATTAATGTATGACGAGTTATTCCAGCTATTAAGCATTTAAGTTTAAAAAGCTGTCACGGTTGATATTTAAAATTGGTTGCTATTGACAAAAATTCAAATAATAAGCTGATGTTAACATGTTTTAGATTTGTCTAAACTGAAATTTTGTATGCTCAAAATATGTTATATTTATGTTATTATTACATTAAAAAACACCTAATTTTACCATTCTAAATAAACAGCAATTTTGGTAAACAAACATTTTCAAACGCCATCTTCCAGGCAGTTTTTTAAATAAGATGGTTTATGTTCAATCGAACTAAAATCAGCTCTTAATTTTTGGTTTAGTTTCCAGATACACTGTATATACATAATTCTTGTGAATGTCAATTCATTTCTAAAATTTTAAAAATACGCCCTTTATTAACTGTAATAATTTTCTCAAGCCGAGTTAATTAATTTTAGTATTATTACAGTGCTCAGGAAAATGTACAATATAAACACACCTAATAACGTACAGGCAGCGTATTTCGATATACCGCGGTATACCGTGCCAAATAATGATTACGAATAGTGGGTAGGCTGAACGTTATTAGCAAGTTGTAAATTTTCTGTAGGAGACAAGTCGAATTTTAATGGACCAGACGCGTACGTAGAGCTTAGGTAATACCTTACGTGCCTGTACAGAATTTCGCGAATTTCTCATTACTTAAGGTCAAAAGGAAATTGCCGGCAAAGTTTTCCTTTGTACGGACGAAATAACCGGAATATTAATGTTTTTGTCCCTAGAAAGAACCGGTAGCTTTGCGACTTAGATACCGTTCTAAGATAATGAAATTTCTTACGTCTCTACAAAACAATCGGTATAAAAAATAAAGATAATTAAAGAAAAATCATTCTACAAATTAAAAAAAAAACATACAACATTACTGAACTTCAAACTTTATCTATCCACTTTGTCTTTTGTGTTAAAATTTTCCTCGCCAAGCATGAGTAAAACTTAAATAAATTATTTGAATTTTATTTCTTTGTTTCTTTTTTCCTTTGCTAAATATTTTTTCTGGCCATTTTTATGATTTTTTTTATGAAAAGGATTTTTATTTCTTCCCCATTTTTTAGTTTTACACAAACAAACCTACTTTTACTCAACCGGTTGGGTTTTGCAGATACTTTTGTTGCGGGTGGATTTTAAAGATCATTATAGTCGCCACTCGTATTTATCAAAAAATCTGATATCTGTTGACCCCATTGGTTAAAATCACAGTGTTTATTATATCTAGGTTATAATGGTTGTCATTATATACTAAAAAATATTGTCGGTATTATGCAATAGGAGTAGAAAAATAATGTTTAATTTACTTAAAATATGTGTTATTAATAAACTTGTTACTTCTTAATGTTCAATGACTATCCCAAAAAACGTCGAAATTAATTAAAAGTACATATTTTTCAAAGAAACGTAAATAAACAGCGCCTCACGCTTTTTGTACAAGTTTATATGTATATTATAACAAAATGGTTTTTTTAAATATTTCTACATCACGATATTTTTTAATATCAAGAGGATTTTAAATTATAAATAAAAAAAATAAAAAATGGCGTTGTCATAAAAAAAATAATTTTTAAATTTAAAATGCCAAGCAAAATATTTTGCAAAGATTTTAGAATTTAGATTGAATTTTCGAATTTATATGTAAAATTATGCAAAAAGCTTCCTTATTCACCATTCATACATAAATAGTTCCCGAGGTATGAGTCATGATGTGCCGTAAAGTTTACGTCAATTCTTTACGTCATTCTTTACGCGTAATAAATCAATTCTTTACACGACTAATTATTTACGTAAAAAATGTAAAGAATGACAAAATGTAAAAAATCCGTAAAATAAGGTTAATACCCTTTTTATTTTAATTCCAATTGTTTTATTTATTTATCTAATTCTTTTAAAATAAATATTTCAGTTTATAAATATTTATATCGGGGTTTTTACTTCCTAATTTTATTAAAAGAAATATCTCATTTAACAAAATTTTACTTTCTTTAAAGATACAAATAGTAAAAACATGTTTTTTATAAATTTTTATTTAGAAAAATATAAAAGAAATCATCCTCCTGTGTCCTGTGTCCAACCATCATATCATATACTGTATACATATTATTATTTGAGGTGTATACTGCAAAAGCGGCCTATCTAGAACTAAAGTGTACTCAAATCCAAGCTGGACTAAACAAAAACGCCCAGACGCATGATAACTCGTTCTTATTGGTCGATTCTGATGGTGTGACTCGGATTGTGAGTTCTTATTGGTCGATTCGGAGGATTGTTTACATTTAGTCCAGCTTGGATTTGAATAGACTTTAGAAGTGTTTGCCAAACTTTTCTCGCAAATTTCACACAGCGCAACATACTTTTTATTGTTTATTTTAATCAGGGTGAAACGCAGTTCATTATAAATATTAGTATTTTGTTTCCTACCGGCCATCTTCTATGCACAAAACTCAAGAGAATTATAAATTGACTGTAGACATTTCACAGAACTAACCAAACATAACCTCAATTTTTTTATTCTTTACATTATTTACTTGCTTTACTTTCTTTACCTTCTTTACGTTTTCTTGACGAATTCTTTACGTCAACAATTAATTATTTACGCGTAAAGGCACATCACTGGGTATGACTGCTTAAATATGTAAAATTTCTTAAAATCAAAAATCAAAAATTAAATAATACAAAATGATGTTGATGTTAGTTATTGTAATAGAAACTTGCGTAATCCATCTTAAAAATGGTATTTACTTAAAATTTTGATGAAACGCTAATCCGGTAAATATTGGCGTACTTAGATCGAAAAACTACTTTGAAAGTAAACATTATGTGGGAAGAGCTGCTATTCGACGAATATGCAGATAAATTGCCAGCTAGAAGGCACAAGAACCTTCTATCATACGAAATTTACGTAAAACTCGCATTAAACTTAGTTATTCGAAAAGTTTTTATTGCACAGCTTAAAAATCAATAAAAACCGATGGCGTAGTGCAGTCACATTGTTATGGAAAATGTGAATATGCAAGTTAAATTACCTTTGAAAATACAGTTTCATTTCGCTAATTCGGAATTTTATGAAAAAAGTTTTTACCTGTTCAAATCCTCCTAATATATCTGTGGTATCCATTGCAGATGTGACTGGCAACGTTTTTAACGTTTTTCCTGCCAAATTAGACAGAGTTTTAACTACACCACTTTTTCCAGATCCAGAAGTACCGACCTAAATAAAAATAAAAAAATTATAAGAGATAAGTATAAACTATAAAAAATGTTTAATTCCTTTGCTTTCCAATGAATTTTTAGCTTCATCTCTCTTATAATATATATTTTAAAAATAAAGAAAACTTCCTACTTAATACACAGGGATAAAGGCAAAAACAAAACATAATATTATTATTTTTCTTAAATCAATATATTTAACATGCACCAAAGACTTTGCATAGAACGAAAAAAGTAATAGAGTGGCGTGCCATGGCCTGAAACTGCACATCATTTTGAAATAAATAAGTCGTTTTTTAAAAAAAGAGATGAAGGCAGAATTCTGACTCGAGAAATTTTATCCGCAAAGTTTCAATTGCACAGGTAAATCGCGCTCGATATTTGTGTTTCGCGTTGCAAGTAAAAACTAAAAAACTCTGAGTACTCGATTTCGATTTGTTATTCCTTATAATATAACATCAGTGATTATTTCCCTCATTATAATATGATATTATATTTCAAGATTAAACAAGCATTTTTTAAAAAACAATAAAAAATAAGTTATCTAGTTTACGAAATATCAATTATTACTTATTACATACATTAAATTAATGGAATTTTCTTTAAAAAAATATTTATAAATTTTGACACATACGTCAGATTTTATGAATTGTCAAATAGTTTCCTTTAATTCGAGAAATAATCTAGACGTATATCACTCAACCTATAAATTTAATCTGTCAAACTATGCTCAGTATACTGAAAAATCAAATAAAACCTTATAAGGTTTTATTTGATTTTTCTTTTTGGAAAATAGTTTCATGGAAAATAATTAAAAATAAAACCCCTCGACCGCTACGCGGTCTCGTGATTTTATTAAATTATTTTGCATTCAACATTTTCCAACAAAAACCAAACAAAAAACTACTGAGCCTAGTTTAACCGATTAAATTCATAGTTCTCGTGATATAATATATGATTAAAAAAGTCAACGCTTATGGGTGATTCTCACGAAATGTCCCCCGATGGTGTTACCTCGTGATATTTAATAAAACTAAATGAGTTTGACCAACACTTTTATTGTTTTGATCTTTCATAATTAAGTAGAGCTCAGGTTCCACATTTTTACCCGCAATTAATTATTTTTTACAATGTTTTAAAAGTCTAAAACCTATCCTCCATGACTGTTACTCTTTCTAGGTTAACCTATATGTTTTCAAATATCTGAGGTAGTACTAAGTCATTAAGTAAATTAAACACATCCAAAGCAATCGAATCAAATATAAAATATTATTAAAAATTAAAACAAATAATATTTATAACCATTTACATATGTAGGTGTTACAAAAATTGATTCTATCCTCCGTGAATCTGTTTTTGCTTTAAATTTTATGAAACGGATGGCGCTTTAATCATTTTAAATAGGCAAAAACCTCTGTTTACAACACTATAGATGCATGTGATTCCTGAAGGTCAGTTAGAATTTATATGCAGATGAGAGTGTTGCTGTTTTATAATTCAAAAGTTTAAGTTCATTAATTTGCTATTTAAAAACCTATCCACCGTGAAGTGTAATATCTCAGTACGGAGATTTTTTTTATAAATATTTTATGTATGTACAATTGTATTTTTAAAAATATTAAGGTGTCAAAAGATACAATAACTTATTTCAAAATGCAAATGGATGTTTAAAAAAAAACATACGAAATCCTAACCTCCGTGAAGCTCTAATATTCAAAATGTATGATTTCTTAAAATTCTTGCATTAGTGCAGAACCACTTATGTTATGTTATTACTTGACCAGGTGGCTTCCCAAAACCCATTCTAGACCAACAGTGAGACAACCAAAAATTAAAAATAATAATTTTCACTTGGGGGACATCTCAATATATTCACCCTTATATGCTTATATAGTTCGTTGGTGAGTGTATTTAATCTAATTTAATTATATCTTATTTATGTTTTAGCTGTAACTATTGTTTCCCAGTGTAAAAATATCATTTTGTTACATTTCCATCTCGTCAATATAAAATAGTAGTTGAACTAGAATTGTACATTTTTAGTTATTCCTTTTGAAATTGTAACAAAAATGTCCACTAAACCGACAGTGCAAATATAAACCAATTACATTTTTATTTTGAGAATTGCCGCTTAATTGCTTTTTAAAATGCTTAATTTTTTAATTTCAATTACTTCTAAACAGGGACGTAGCGAAGGGTTGAAGGGGGGGGGTGTTACACCCCTCCAACTTTTCAGCATTTTTCGAGATCCCGATAATATATTTTAATATTTTTAATGAATCGGTGATTTGGAAACTTGTCTTTTTTAACTCACAATATTTTGATTCTGCTAAAGTAAATTTGAATATGCTAGTAAAAAATTTTAGTCAGGAAAGATGAATTTTCTTAATGCCGACTAATGAATTTGTTTTATTGATTGATTCCAGTCAATTAAAATGATAGTCAACAGAAATAGTTTTACGGTTTTTCTTAAATTAAGCCTAAGTTTTGAAAAGTTATACATTTGAAGGAATTTGAACAATGGATTATTTTTTGCCCTGGGCTACGCCATTTATCTTCAAATATATGTATTTTATCGCGTATTCCTTTACATTTTAAGATTCAAATGTCGGTAAAATTTTTGAAAGAGTCGACATTTTATCCCCCATAATCGGAACCTTCGCTACGCCCTTGCTTCCAAAAATGTTTTTATAAAATAATACGAAATTTAAAAATACATATCTTACCAAAATAGCCATCCACTTCAAATTGACGCAATAAGCTAAACTTCTTAAGGCCGGCAGCTGAGATCTGAGCACCAAACACGTTTTGTCCTGTTTAAGCACGTTATAGTTTAAATTATCGGTGTCCCTTTCGACGCGAACATCCCCGAAGTAAACCGAGTCACTATTAACGTACACCACCGGATTATTACCGGAAAAACCGCACTCAAACACGCTTTCGAAAATATCCCGGATTTTAAGCTTGTCGAAATTGGTCCTCATACGATCACCGTAGATAAGTTGCACGGCACGTTCCGGTTCGAATTGTTTGTCTGGCTTAGGGTTTATTTTGTAGACGTACAAAACCGCCTCGCACCATCTCGTCAAATCTCTTAAATTGTATTCCCAGGGGGATCCTTTGTGACCGAACGTATGACTCTCGAGCTCGTCGGTAACTTTAGAATTAAACTTCAACATCTTTTCAAGCACATCGGAAGGTATTTCATTAAACTGATTCTCCAGAATAAACTTCAAATCTCTATCGTTTAAAGTGTTAACGTAAACTTGTATAAACCTGTTTAAGAATGACTTAGGTAGCCCTCTACGCGAACCGCCTTGTTTCAAAGGGTTCTGACAGGCAAAAAATCTTGTTCCCGGGGTAATATGGAACGTTTTTCCCAATTCCGGTATGAAAACTTCGCCACGATGATCCAAACAAGCGTTTAAACCTTCCAAAACTGACTGGGACGCCAAATTCAGTTCGTCAAGTAAAACCCAATCACCCTTTTTTAATGCTTGAAGTAACGGCCCATCTCTCCATGAAAACTGGCCACCAGTACCACCTTCTATTGGAAGATCCGCCCCGAACAAATCAGAAATGTCCTGAAAAAACAATATATAGCATCCATACAAATAAGTCTTTTTAAACATACTGTTTGATCAGATAAATTAATTCTAAATATTTTATGCCCAGTATATTTAGCCAAAGCAGTCACAAGGCTAGTCTTTCCCACTCCCGGACTACCTTCAAGAAGAATTGCTTTATTAAGCTGCATTCCTCTTAATAAACGTAAAGTGTTGAATATTGTTGTGGGGGCATTAAACGAAAAATTTTCCTTAGCAGACACAAGTTTTCCGTTTTGTATATAAAATGGTTTTATTCCAAAGGATTTTTTTGTTATGTCAACTGACAGTTTTTCCAGTAAAGTGGGTTCGACGTGAGTTAATGTTTTGAGTTGTTTTATTAAAAATGACTCGCATTGAAATCTAAATTTCTCCAAGATTTTTATGCTGAAATGTTTAAAAATTAATCAAATTAAGATTTAACTAACTTTATTATCATGTATTACCTTTCAGTACTAGTTGCCCCAGATCCTAAACTATCCAAGAATGTTAGGAAAGCACCATGTAAATATGCTTCAGAAATTTCTATTTTTTCCGCACAGACATTGATAAAATTAACCCATGTTAAAATATCACGAATGCTAATCGTAAACCTCTTTCCTATTTCAGTACCCTGGAACCATTCCACAAAACCCATAATACTCTTACCAATGCCGCTGGAACCATCTTGTTGGTTGCCAAAAGAAATACCACCTTTGATATTTTGCTCGATAATCGAAATCAAATCGTTTTTATCGGTACAAGATTCGCACCAAATTTCCGTGAACCGATTTCTTAGAGCCGGTGATAACTCTTTTTTTCCAAAATCACCACCAGGGTTCATGGTCCCGATAAAATGAAAACCTGGATTTGCTATTAAGAGTTCGGAGTTTTCCGTATTGTTTAAATCTATGCCTTTTTCAGCCAGTAGCAAGGATCTTTCAGGTTCCAATAGAGAATTCAATCTTTCAAGGACGCTATCGTCAGCTAAAGAAATTTCATCGGCTAAGAAAACATCCCCCTTAACCATGGCCTGAATTAATGGGCCATCAACCCATTCAAAAAGTTTATTTGCATCTTCCTGTAAGGTGAAAATTGTTTAAATCATGCAAAAATACCAAATCAAAAACTTACTGTGTGATCTCTTACAGGCCTAAGCCCGCCAATAAAATCGCTGCTTTCAGTGTGCATGTGACAATTAACGGTTAGTAGATTTTGTCCATTATTTTCGGCTATGAGTTGGCACACTGTCGTCTTACCTCCACCAGTTTCACCCACCAAAAGTACTGGTTCTTTAAATTCTATTGCTTTTGCAACTAGTACTGCCAACTGCCTCATGTTGAAAGTCCAAACGATATTTCGGTGTTTGGATTTATCGCTCAGGATTTTCTCCAGAACGTGTTGGGTGACACTGGAAGTCTTATCAGACACTAAAATATTTGGTTAAAAATACCTAATGGAATAACGATAAGTTTAATACACTTACAGGTAAAAAGTTGTTGGGGTGACACGGTTCTTTTCAAATGCTTTTGCAATACTTCTGTAATTTCTCCCCTTTCCTCTGTTCTTCTAACTCTACCCGCTAAGACCAAGTAACCCTCGTCGGCCAAATGTTGATCCCAATCATACAATTTTTCCAATTTTGGAGCTAACCTATACCTTTCACCCCACCTGAAAAGATCTCTAAGCGTCATGAAACCTTGTTTACCAGCGAATGCTGCCGAACCTTTGCGTCTTATCTAAAAGTGGATTTAAGTAAGTAACTTACTAAGCCTGTCATGTAGGGTTATAATCACCAAAGTGACAAAGTAAGTTATAAAGTTAAAAAAGTTTGAAACGTTTGTAAAACTATTATTTAAAACATTTTTTGTATCATTCACACTTTTCAATAAAATTATTTGAAAAGTCATTTCCGATAATGTTAGAAATTAACATTTCTAAATTTTCCACCTTGGTGATATTGATCATTAGATGGTAAATTATACTTACTTGTAGGTCTGTCATAACACTTATCATTTTTTTGGCATAGGAGGGCGGCATTTGACACCGCTTTTGCAAAATAAATTCCAATTCATCAGCCGGAATCTCGTTAAAATGTAACTCAACGAATCTGTTTCGGAAAGCTCTCGACAACATTTTTCTGCCACCGTAGGCACCTGGTGGGTTTTGCGTGGCAAACAACATGAAATTCGGATTAGCTTTCACGGTTTCCTGAGTTTCCGGGATGAATAATTCTCTGTTGTCGTCCAAAACTCTGTTCAGAGCTTCGAGAACATCGGTGGGCGCTAAATTAAGTTCGTCCAGGATAATCCAGTGGCCCTTGCGCATCGCCTCCACTAATAATCCCTCTCTGAACACCAATTTACCGCTGGAGTCGGCCACATAAGACCCGATGTACTCCTGTAAGTCAGTGTGCTCGTGGTTGTTAATACGAACGCATTTATTTCCGCTCGATTTCGCTAAATACGTAATCAAACTTGTTTTACCAACTGAAGTGTCGCCTTGCAATAAAACGGGGAGTTTACCGATAGACACTATTCTTACTAAATCCTTAAGATTTTTTCGGACTGATCCCGTAAGAATGTAATCTTCAGGCGGAACGGGTTCCAGTGAACCTTTATGAACCCAGTTATCCTCAAATTTGATGTATGTTTCACCGTCTTTAGGTTCTGGAATTGGCTGTTTCATTATGGCTTTTGCGGATTTATCATCTCCAAGAAAATAGCTATAAATAATATAATTTGTTAACCCTTTCTTACCTGAATTGGACAACAAAATAAATAAACAGAAAAAGGTGAATTTTACAAATGCTATTTTAATAATGGTGAGCAGTTTTTAAAATCAGTGGCCATTTTACTTTGAAATACAAGGGTAGGTCAATCAGTTCTTACAAAATCCAAAATATGACGATACAAGTGTGTTCCTGATAAAATTTATTTATTTATTTAGGATTTAATGCTCTCTATCAATAGACTGGTGTCAAAATTGCATGGTTTCCTTTGTACAGTGGCGGACACGGAATTTTGAACGACTCTCATCCCGTTGACATCAAAATCTAATCTTCCTTTATGGACAACTAACCTTACTTCCGGTCATAGAAAAACCTCTATGCTTCCGGTTATCACTAGTCTTGTCATTTTGACAGCGAAAGCAAACATGGTCAATATTGAATCTTTGCTATTTACAGCTTTATACATGGACAACCAAATTAGGTCGTTCAAAATTCTGTGTCCGCCACTGTACAACTTTTATTTTTGGACTATTAAAGTTTCGTGCGGTGATTAAACACTTTTGTTTGAAAGTCAAAACACCAAAATGATATCCAAGCTAGATAAGTTGCACCAGCATTTGAAACTATTTCAATTGGGTAAGTGGAACATGCCCCTACATCCACATTTTGTGAATATCGTTCCGACTTTAAGATAAGACAAAATCAACGAGTCTAAGTGCATGAACTTGTTGGAGCCACAAACATGAAAAATAAAAACAGATCAACTCAAGATAATGTTTTTTATACTATTTTGTAAGGGCCTATTGACCTACCCTCGTAGCCAAAAGCACTTTATCGAAAGGGTTTCCCAATATACAATAAATACAATATAACTAAAACATGCTAGAAGATGCTCTATGACGCATATGTTTTAAGTAACCACAACCTACATGATACCATTCTGGGGAACAGCTGGCAAAAGAAAAATAAATAAATTACAAAATAAGGTAATCAAAGTCTTATATAATATTGTAGCGAGTACCCCTCTGGATTTCGGAATGATGACTCATCGCCGATGAGTCATTGCCGGTGAGTCAGCTTGCGTGACGTGTGTCACGTAGGCACTGAATACATAAGGAACAGCGCAGCATGGAGCATTTAGTCAAGCTTTGGTACTCGCGACGAAATAAAATAAATATACATGGAAATAAATAAACTCTTGTATTGTAGTGATATATAAAAAATTAGTAGTTAAGTGATTAGTTAGTTTTATGGTTTCTTAGTATTTTAATTGTAATTAAGTTACAAAATAAATCGTTTAGTTCGTTAATAAACCAGTGCGTGTTTTAATTCACACAACGAACAGTAAAAACGTTACAATATCAAACAAAACAGCTACAAAATATATTTAAAATTTGAATATTAATAAATTGGAATCACGCAATGAGCAAGGAGATGCACTTACAGTGATCGTTCCAACAAGACGGTGCCACATCGAACGATCAAATTATTGGCAGAAAAGTTTGACGACTGTAATTTCAGTAAATGTACCTGTTTATTAGATTCCTTTATGTGGGGCTATGTTAAAGCATTGTACAAACCACAAACAATTCAGGACTTAAAGACGAACATAAAAAACCAATTCGTGAGATTAATTCTGATTTATCGAATTCGCTCCTAGTTGCGGTGGACATTTGAATGATGTGTTATTCAGAACGCAATTGTCATAAGTTGTACATTCAAATAAAAAACACATTTTATCTTAAATACCTACTTCATATTTTATTTAATTTTAAAAACATTTTTTCCTTATTGGGAACCCCTTATAAGGCAAAATTCACCTATTCCTGCGGATACTATATAAATAAAAATCAATTCTTACGTGGTTATCATTTTCTGCACTATATTGTAAGAAGCAGAGTCTAGCTGAGTTAAAAATCCAAGACAGAAAGCCTCATACAAGCTTCTTTTAAACATTCCGCAAGGATTGCTGGAGGCGATCATCAAACTTCTACACAGTGACCTTAAAGAATAATGTGGCTTATGACCTAAACCATCAGACAAAGTCATTATGGTCTGTTTGCGAACTTTTAAGTAAAAATCCACGATCTTATTCAAATCTTTATCTTTCAACGACATAGCTTCAAGATAGTTATTGACCAAAAGCAGTAGATCAGATTTCTCAGTTAATTCGTCGACATAAAACTCGGTAAAGCGATTTCTTAACCCCGGTGGTAAATCTTTTTTGCCTACGTCCGTAGAAGGATTCATGCAAGCAAATAGGGTGAAATTACTGTGCCTTTTAACAGGTTGTTTGTCGCCTCTTTCCAATAAGCACAGTGAACCTTTGGAACCCTCAAGGAGCCCAGATAAACATTCCAAAGTTTCTGCATTTGCTAAATTTATTTCATCCAACAAGACCCAATAACCTTTCTCTACAGCTTTTACAAGACTTCCCTCAATGAAAGCAAAAGCCAAAGAGTTTGGTTGCTTCAACTGCATGGCCAGTTTATGCAATTTTTCAGCAACCAACTGCCAGCGTTTTAGGAAATTCTCTTCCTTGTTAAGTTTTTCTAAATTGTCGGTTTTTTTGGATTCATCCATTGCTGCTGGAAGTCGTTTAATGGCTGCCTCACAACTCTTCGTCATCAATTTAACCAAATCCGACCACCGTTGACTATTAAAACAAACAGCAACATTGCTTAGATACTTTTTGTTTGGTTCCACTTTAAAGTAATCGCAAAAAATTTCTTCAAATTCTCTTCTGACTGGGGCAACTATAAACTTAAAATCAACAGGTTTATAACCTCCCAGTAAATCTGCTGAATCCGATTGTTGGTTCATGTTTATGACCACCAATTTCTGACCAATGGTGTTGGCCAAAAACTGCACTGACGAAGTTTTACCCGTACCGGTTTCACCAACCAATAAGACAGGCTCTTTAAGGTTTACACAGCACATTATTCTTTCCAATAAAACAGCTGATGGTCTTGTAAACGAAAATTTTGCTGTTTTAGTAAAAATATTGTTGTCTCTTTTGATTGAAGCTCGCCCTGCTATAAGACTATCCTGGGTTAAATGCATTTCTGGTTTGTAAGTTTTGAAGAAATATTCAGCTTTTTGGTTGATTATACTCAAGTTGGTGCTGATTTCTACAGCCAAGTTGAGGGCTTCCTGTGCGTTTGAGTAGGAGCAACAGAATACGTCTATGGCATCCTGTAGGACTTTTAGAGCGCTTTCCTGACTGCTCACATCAAAGTCTATTATGGCTCGTGAGCACCATTTGAAGAAGTCACGGGTTGATATCAGTCTACCGCTCTTAGGAATTGAAATTAGATTTTGATCTGTTTCTTTGTTGAAAAGTTGGAATACATTTATCAACCTATCAGTAATAGTTTGAAATTTACTATATCTAGTGATTAATATTTCTTTTAGATCGTCCACCGATAAGGGATCTATATTGATTTGTAACAAATGTTTCTCTAGTAATGTCATCGCGTTGGAGTGTTTTTTATGATGCCCAGTTATGGTGGTGACAAGTCTACAAATGAATTGTTAAGTTATTTTAATTTGTAATTTGTTTAAATTTAATAGACCCACCTTTGCGTCACAAATAATTGAAAATTGGGTGCCACAGGGACCGAATCTTTATAGCCAGGCACTGTTAGGCATCGGTTTTCTAATAAACTTGTTAACACTGAGGCGATATCCATGCTAGCTGAATCTATGTCTTCCAAAAGTAACCAATTTCCATCTACCACAGCCTAAATTTAAAAAATATAAAGATTTTAGGGGCGAATTACCTTTGTTGGATAGTCACATGTTGACAAATAAAATATATTTTTTAAATATTTTAATTTATATATAATGTCATAAGACCTAATCCGATTGATCTAAACCATTTTTAAGTGCCTATGCCATAATCAATCAATTTACTAACGGGTGTTGACAAAAAGGAAGTTTAAATTATAGACTGATTAAAGATAAATAAATAAAAGTAATTTGCGTTTTTTGACCTATTGTATTTACCAGGACGATATTTTTTTTAAAGTAGTAATAATTTAATACTTTTTTTTAATACTTCACCACTTCTGATAGTATTTTTTAACATAGAGTTTTTTAATGGTAAAAGATTAAAAAAATGTTGATAAGAAAATTAAAAACATTCTAAATACAAAATGTACAATTAAAAGAATTACCCAGGAGATAAGAAATCTTTCAAAAAACCTTACCTGTGTTAATACACCTGGCTGCCATATGAACTCCCCGGGAACATCAGTACATCTGTAAGTCCCCAAAAGCATTTTGCTGTCCGTTTGATCCCCCAACTGGACTTTGATGAAGTTTTCGCCGATTTTACGGCCAGTTTTTAACGCTAAATGCTCGACCAAACTGGTCTTGCCACTGCCCACGGGACCTTGTAAACAAAGGGCTTTATTTGATGTCAAGCCCAAAGCTAATTTGCGCAAATTTTCTTTTGTTGACTTTACTTCTAGAAGCAAATCGTTTTCGACGAATTCGTTTACAGTTTGTAAGTAAATTCCACATATGTTTGCAACTTTTTCGAATGCATTTTTTGGAATATATATTTGTGGGTTTTTATCGATAACGCCCGCTTTTGCAGATGTTTCTGATAAAGTTGATTTTAGGTTGAATTGGCATAAATGTTGGATTGATATTTCTTTGCTCATAAACGTGTTTATTAGTTTTTTTAGGTGTTTTTCGTTTAATCCAAAAACTATGGCCAGAGTATGGCAAACAATCCTAAAATATCAATTTAGATGTTAATTTCAGTTGCTTAAGACAAGTTCTATTTCAACATTGTATTGCAATTGTATAAATAACAAAAACTACTTATAAATACTTATAAATAATCTGTTTTTAAATCATTCCTCTGGCATGTTTATGAAAATAAATTAGCATGCTAATAAAATACAAACAATAACAGATTTTTCTTTGTCATGTATTTTTTTCTCATTCCCTTCACCATGATAAAAGAGATTTACTGTTAAAATTGGAGATGGTCAAAATTAAACGGTTATTTGAATAACCGGTTAACGGGACTGTAAATAACCGGTTAAAACAGGTTATTTTATCATTCAGGTTTATAACCTTACGGCTTTGACCTATAGGTAACCGAAAATCGGTTATTTTGCATATAAAATATTTTTTTATTATTACGATTTCGTATTTTTAGGAAAATTAAAACAATAATTTTATTCAAAAAATGCATTACCTACAAGTGTTCATAATCCTTGGTTTTGGATTTTTCTGTTAAATTTTATTAAATAACCAACTGATTATTTTTAAGTATATACTACGGCTCAGTGGTGGCTGGTAAATTTTGGGTATACTGATATCTCAGTTATTAAACATGGGGCCCATATCAAACTTATAACGACATTGAATAGATAAGTTTTGCGCAAGCAGAATTTCAATTAAAGTTTGCGAAAAAAAGTTTTTCAGCGCGCCTCGCCAGCCCCCTGCCATCTCTAATTAAAATTACTCAAATTAAAGTGGTGCAATTCACTAAAGTTCCAACTTTTTTTGCAAACTTCAATTTAAATTCTGCTTGCGCAAAACATGTCTATTCAATGTCATTATAAACTTATATAAGGTTGGTGTGGGTCCCATGTCTACTAAGTGAGATATTGGTATACCCAAAATCCACCAGCTGCCACTGCTATGGCTGTAAATGTCATGGATTTTTATTTGTTTAATTAAAAAAAGATTGATTTTAAATCACAAAATTTCCTTGTTCATTATTCACAAACCAATTTTTTTTTAATATACTGTTATTGACAATAACTTATTGTAATAACTGGTTATTTTCCTATAGGTTAATTGGGTTAGATTATTTTTTAAATAAAATTTAATTGAAAACTGGGTATTTTTCAACAACCACCCAAACTAAAAATGTGGCATCTGTGTTTATTGCTAATTTGTTTTAATACTTAAATCGTGGTGTATGTAAGTAGTACTTAAGGATTTTACAAAAAAATAGTAGTAGGTACTTATGTTAAAAATAAAATTTTGTAAAATAACTACTAAAAAAAGTAAAAATTAAGATATTCTTTTGGCACAACAATTAGGTAGGTATGTTAGTTGGCAATAAGCATATACTTATTTACCTACTTTGATTTTATTTAGGAATAACCTATTCCCCCTATAAACTTATGATTATTTGAATGTTCTAATATATGACTTAAGTATACAGGGTGTTTCTTTTAACTTGAGACAGCTCAATATCTCGAGAAATACGCATTTCACGGAAAAATGTCTTAAATAAAAGGTTAGTGTGACTAAAGGGGACATTATTTGGTGCTACCGCTAGCCACCCCCTACCCCTCCTTAAGGGTGAAACGGGGGGTAACTTTGGAAAGTCAAATGGAATGACCCGATTTTTTTCACAGAGTTTGGTGGTACATAAAAAAATAAATAACTTTTATATAAAACTTTTTTCAATTTATCAACAGATGGCGCTGTAATTCAAAATTTAAGAAAAATGAGTTTCATTGTAAAATGTATTATTTGAAACGTTTGAAAAACAAAAATTAACATTAACAACAATATTCGGCTATGAAAACAATTTATAACAAATGTTCGAAATGTCGTCATTCCATTTCAACACATTTTTGAATGCGGGTAATGAATTCTGGCACACAACGCGCCAACATATCGGGCGGTATCGCCGCACACCCAAATAGCACACGACCTCCCAAGGAAATCCTGATTGGGTCTGTCCGGGCCAGTTTAGGATATCCCATTTCTGACGTACCTTGGACGTCCATGGGACGTCCTGAAATTAAATTGGGTATAGTATATTGGGTATCCCATTTCTGACGTACCTTGGACGTCCATAGGACGTCATAGAATTAAAATGGAAATAGTATACCATATATATATATATATATATATATATATATTGGATATCTTCATGCCGTCTTTCCAAAAGGCAAAAAATGTATAGCATTTGCATCATCTGTCACCTGTCTAATGATGCAAAGTGACAGATATCTGTCACCTGTCATATCATATGACTCATATGATGCAAGGCGACAAATATCTGTCACCTTTCATAATCTGCCACCTGTCTTATCTGTCATTTGCCACCTTCATTTGTCACCTGTAATATTATACAAGGCGGCAGATATCTGTCACTTTCCATCACCTGTCATTTGTCACCTATCATACCTGTCATTTGTCACCTGTCATACCTGTCATTTCTCACCTGTCATACCTGTCATTTGTCACCTGTCATACCTGTCATTTCTCACCTGTCATTTGTTACCTGTCATTTATCGTCCTGCATAACTTTGCTTTCTGCGCATAATATCATATTTGAATTTGAATACGGCTGGCTTCGACTGTACTGCCACCGTTTTGTACCGATCGTTACTCGAAGTGCTCCAAAAGTTGCCGAATTTGCCAACTGTTGGTGTCATAGTAAGGAACGTTTAAATATTTGAATTTAGCGCGTAAGTTTAATATCCGTTAGGGGAGTATCATATCCGTCAGCGGAAGAAGGGGAGAGAAGAAGAAGAAAGTATCATGGCCGCAATTGCGTTAACACAAGGTTTTCGGCTTGGTTATTTATTTTTGGTTCAACGTAATTTCTAAGTCTGATCAAATGTAAAGCTAAGAAAATGTTTTCTTTACAATCCACCAAAAGCAAGATCCAATAATATTGGGTGGCTGAAACAAATATGGATGCCAAGCCGCTAAGGGTAAAATCTATTTTCTTTTAAATGTGCTAGTGGCACTATTCCGAACACCCTGTATAGTTATCATGACAACATGCGGATTTCCAAAGAAAAGTCTCAAAAAGCCCTCACAGTACCTTAATAAGCTGGTTTGAGAAAGTATCATGGCCGCAATTGCGTTAACACAAGGTTTTCAGCTTGGTTATTTATTTTTGGTTCAACGTAATTTCTAAGTCTGATCAAATGTAAAGCTAAGAAAATGTTTTCTTTACAATCCACCAAAAGCAAGATCCAATAATATTGGGTGGCTGAAACAAATATGGATGCCAAGCCGCTAAGGGTAAAATCTATTTTCTTTTAAATGTGCTAGTGGCACTATTCCGAACACCCTGTATAGTTATCATGACAACATGCGGATTTCCAAAGAAAAGTCTCAAAAAGCCCTCACAGTACCTTAATAAGCTGGTTTGAGTATATCCCGATATAGTCCTAATCAGGACGTCCTACGGACATCTGAAAGTGTATCATTTGGCCGTCTGTAGACCTCCTAGGGACGTCAAACGGACATTGCGGGACGTCCTGAGTACTTCCGCAATGTCCCAAGCTGACGTCCCGAGGACAGCCTAAGGACGTATTTGTGCTTACTGGGCAGTAGGGTGGGCCGAAAATCCGCTTTTTTAGAATTTCGTTTAGTAATAGCAAAAATTTTGTTCATTATGTTGTAAAAAAATTTTGTGTAAAAGATTAAAATTTTCGATCAACATCTTAGGCTCGCCCAACGCAATTAAAGATCAAAATGTTCAAAAAAATTTTGATACTAAAATCGGGTTTATTTCTAAAACTATCCATCTGAAGTAATTTAGTGTAAGGACCTTTTTTGTAGAGCATAAAATTTCCGATCGAATTAAGTTAGGAAAATTTTTTTTTGAACATTTTGATCTTTAATTGCGCTGGGCGAGCCTAGGATGAGGATCGAAAATTTTAATCTTTTACACAAATTTTTTTTACAACATAATGAACAAATTTCTGAAACTATCCATCTGAAATAATTTTGTGTACAGCATAAAATTTCCGATCGAAATAAATTAAGAAAAATTTTTTTTGAACATTTTGATCTTTAATTGCATTGGGCGAGCCTAGGATGTTGATCGAAAATTTTAATCTTTTACACAAAATTTTTTTACAACATAATGAACAAAATTTTTGCTATTACTAAACGAAATTCTAAAAAAGCGGATTTTCGGCCCACCCTACTGGGCAGGCGTCCCTGATCCGCTCCACCATGTCCTCCCAAGTTGTAGGAATTGCAGCGTAAACTTTTTATTTCAAGTAACCCCACTGGAAGAAGTCTGGTGGCGTAAGATCAGGTGATCGAGCAGGCCAAATTACTGGACTACGTCTACCGATCCACCGCGGTGCACCGGCCATTGAACTCCCGATCCAACACCTCTCGAGCAATTGTCGAATAATGTGCAGGACAACCATCTTGCTGGTACCACATGTTTTGGAGCCGTGCTAGTGGAACATCCTCCAAAAGGTCCGTCAGATCGTTTTCTAGAAAATTCCGGTACTTTTCGCCATTTAATGCACCGTCAATAAAGAAGGGTCCGATTAATCGTTCGCTTAAGGTACCGCACCAAACGTTTACCGACCAGGGACGCTGGTGCTCCACTTGGTGTCGAAATGGAAGGACGACATTTCGAACATTTGTTATAAATTGTTTTCAGAGCCGACTATTGTTGATTTAATGTTAATTTTTGTTTTTCAAACGTTTCAAATAATACATTTTACAAGGAAACCCCTTTTTCTTAAATTTGGAATTACAGCGCCATCTGTTGATAAATTGAAAAAAACTTTCAAATAAAAGTTATTCATTTTTTTATGTACTATCACAGTCACGTTCGAGAGCTCGTCAAAGTTAGTCGCATCTTGCCGTCGCGCTCTTGAAACTTACAAACAGCAATGCTCGCGACTCGCGTGCGGGTGAGCTCTTGAAACGTAAAAGTTTAAAGTTGAAACCAACAATAATTAAAAAAAAAAGGGGTGCGAACTGATAAGTGAAACAAACATTTTCATGGAGTGCAAGCTAAAATGGTGTAACGGTCATTGAGGAGTGGAGTGTTGGGTGATAAGAATGACTTGGGTGCCACCTGTCATTGGAGGCTTTTTACTGGACGGACGGGGGAGGTCGGAGAAGAGGGGAGGTGGCCATCCGCAAGGGGAAAAATCTGATAAGTTTTACTTTAAGAGTATGCATGACCTGATACAAATCTGCAATATAAATACATATATAGATCCCAGCAAGCATTTTCCGTTATTTGTCACCATTAACATTGCACGTATTCATTTCATTAAACATAACATTTATTTTACTTGAAATGTTAAAATGACTTTAAAATATGATTATGTTAAGAACATATTTTACTCTTTAAACAATTGTTTTGTTTTTAATTACTATCATTGCAAAATTGTATTAAAAAGTGTTAAAAATTCTTACACGGGCAATGTTAGTGGGGATAGGTATCGTTAAAGTGTTTATTGGGATATCTTTAAAACCTAAGAAGGGCACGCAGCGTGGGGCAATAAGTCTGTCAACAGCAAATGCGTAAGGCGGTCCCAATCGAGCCGGAAAATAAACACTGGACTGACAGAGTAAACTAACATTGAACAAAATTCTAACACATTAAAAAAAAGGGCCTAATAGCCAAACTCGAGTTTGTAAACATTAGACTACAGAATAATCGCGCTTGTGATTTGTTTGACTAGTGAATAAATGCAATGCTTTGGAATTTGATAAACAAAGACGGAACTCTACCACAAAACGTGCTTGGGACAAAAATTATTAAAAACAACTGACACATTTTACCAAGGGCAGGAACTATCTGACCAGGACACGGACAATGACAATAACGAACAAGACAAAGACATCGACTAGGAAACTACACCCCTGCAGCGAAATAACAACTCCCCAACTCCAAATAGTGATCCCAAATATTTGGAGTAATACTAATCGACTGGTCTAGGGGGATTCCGCGTCGTACTTAGTTTTAAGTCGGCGTAATTGTCCCCCAAAAACCAACTCCCTCCCGTCCCTCATCCATACCCCACCGAGCGTATAGCATAGGCTCGGCGAACCCGGGAATGGCTATTATAACTATTCGCCTCTCGCTCTCGAGCCCCAAATAGGGGACAGTACGTAACGCAATGGACATTCGCACCCAGCAAACACGGGTGAAGCCGTGCAGTTGCTGGGGAAGAACAAAAATCGGCGTAAGTAAACATAGGCCTGTACGGGGTTCGAGAGTCAAGAGGAAATGGGGCTGGTTATACGTCTCTTATACTCATACTCATTTTTTTATGTACTACCAAACTCTGTGAAAAAAATTGGGTCATTCCATTTGACTTTCCAAAGTTACCCCCCGTTTCACCCTTAAGGAGGGGTAGGGGGTGGCTAGCGGTAGCACCAAATAATGTCCCCTTTGGTCACATTAACCTTTTATTTAAGACATTTTTCCGTGAAATGCGTATTTCTCGAGATATTGAGCTGTCTCAAGTTAAAAGAAACACCCTGTATAATTAATCTGCTTTTCTAGGCAACAATTTTTGTTTGTAAATTATTTATGTATATATTTTACTTTTTAAGGCATTTTTAACTTAATTTTTATTTACTCAATATTTAAAACAAAAAATGTATGTAGACAAAAACCATTTTTCTTCCTAGTAGGGAGTTCCTATAGGAGAACTGCTTTGTTAGAAATAGTAGGTATATTCTAACAATGCAGTTACTACCTATATCTATTTACCTAATAAAAATATGTAAAACTTGTTAACTTACCATAAGACTTTTGTATTTGTATTTGTTTTATATATTTTAATAAAATCGGACCAATTCCAAATATTCCTGTAATGATCTGGATTGGTTTTTAAAATAAAGTAAGTACTCTCAACAATCAATAAATCTAATTCATCAACATTCATTGTAGACTCAAATTTTCGCTTTTTAGAAGGATTTTGACTATTTTTTTTATTAAAAGGAGATGAATGATTCTCAAAATATTTCAATGCATAACTAAAAATTAAACCCAATTAGAAAAAAATATAAACAGTTCAGTTATTGGTTACCTTGTTAAGTCAGTCCTTTTTTGAATAATTTTACTAATAACTGTACATGCATATACGTGTTTTTCATAGTCAAAATTGTCAGAACTATTCGTATTAACGAGAATATTTAAAAACCTTGGCAATTCCTCAGAAAAATGAGAAAATACCGTTTCAAAATATTGTGAAACATTAAAAATTTGGGTGGCTATGTAATTTAGGTGCACATTATTTTTTTCGAGCCTAGATAGGCTTTTGTTTTTCTCAAACGACTAAAAATAAGCAAAAATATTATTTAAATTTTTAGGTTAGGTACAAGAAATTATTTTTACCTCGAAAGCAATCCTGAACTGAGCATTGATTCTAGAAAAATCTTTCAGTTTCAAAAACAGCGAATCCTGTTCTTCCATAGCTATATAAAATAAACACAGTCACTTATTATTAAACCACAAAATTTACTAAAACATTTACAAAATGTTCAAAACCATGCACTCGGTTTAGTAAACACGCCGCGGCGAACTAAAATTTATCCGCGCATGCGCACTTACGGACTACCAACATAAATCACTAAAAAGTAAATGTTTTGCACAATAAATCAAGGGACTTTTATGTCGTTATGATTTTACAGTGTCCTTCAAATTTGCACGTTGTCAAAAGCACATGTGAATCAAAATAAAGTGAATATTTTCCGAAATAAGTGATGGGTTTAGAAAAAGGTATTGCCCATAGATCGGGCGCCTTTAAACAATCAAATAAAGAACATAAACATGGACGACATCGCTCCAAAGGCTCGCTTGCACAGACAAATAAAGGTAATTTGAGGTTATGAATCTATAAACTATAATTATTTAAAACATTTTCAATCACAGGAAAGGTTTCTGTCAAGAAACAAACTAAGAGGAACAAACATGTTTTGACAAGAGATGAGAGAAGACATCAGGCAGATCAGATTAGACAAAATAAAAGGGATGATTTGTTGGCTAGAAAGCGTTCGCTTGGAAGTATAGCTAGTGCCCCTTTTTTGGTCTGCATTTTACCATTAAACAAAGATATCGATCCAAATAGTGTACTTAATTTACTTACACAATGTGATGAGCAAGCTGTTGTTCATAAATCACCCACTGGAGTAACTCACATATTGTAATTTATCGTTAAGAGGTTTGGTATTATATATTAATAACTTGTGTTTTTAGCTTACCAAGATTTAAACAAAAGTTTTCGTTTATTATACCACAGATGGATAATATGTTGGCATTATTGGATGTATTAAAAATATGTGACACAGTGCTTTTTTTAGTATCAGCTGCTTGTGGAGTTGATGATGACACTGTTATCGACAAATGGGGACATAACACTCTTACTGCATGCTTTGCACAAGTAAGTTCACTATGTTTTATTAAAAATTTTTACAAAAGAATTTAATTTATAATTACCTATAATGCTATTACTTATAACCATTGATTAACGTTATGACTAAAAAGTTTCTAAAAAAATTATTTCTATATATAATCAGTAATTTAATTGAGGTAAGTTTCAACATTCAACTTGTGTTTGTTTAAAAACCAAGGTTTGTTGAAAACAGTTCTTTTTACTTTATATTAGCTTTACTTGTTTGAATATTATCTTTAATATTTAAAAAACAAATGCATAGGGACAATAATTAAAACAAATTTAACATTTTTGTTAACATTTACCCATAATATAAAACATTTACCTATATTATAAATGTTTTATTATTATTTTAGGGTTTACCCACTCCTGTAGTAGCTTTAACAGATTTAGAAAGCATTGGTCAAGTTAAACACAAGACTGACATAAAACAGCAAATACAGAAGCTCATAGAAAATTGGTTGCCAAAAGAAACTCTTGTGGTTTTAGATAAAAATCCACAGGGTTTAAATCTACTAAGAAAAATAGGGGGCCAGAAGAAAAGGAATGTATTTTACAGAGACAGAAGACCTCATTTGTATTCAGAAGATGTTACTTTTGTACCAAATCCAGAAGGTTTGTTTATTTTTATTAATTATATTCTTGTTATATTTTATTTTTAATAATTTTAGGTACTCTTGGTACATTAAAAGTAACTGGATATTTAAGAGGTACTCCATTATCAGTAAATAGTTTGGTGCATGTTCCTGGTTTAGGAGATTTTCAAATAAGTCAAATCGATGCGCCATGTGATCCATTTAAGGTTGAAAAATCAAGGTTTGTACATTACAATTACTTATTTATTTGTTATATCAGTAAAATTGATGTGTTTTGTAGGAATAATAATGCAATGGAGGATGATTCTACTGTAGTCAGAGTTTTGGATAGATGTAATCCAAGTTTACAGGAATCTTTGGATGCAGAAAATGTTCCAGATCCAATGGATGATGAGCAAACATGGCCTACAAATGAGGAAATTAAAATGGCAGAGAAGGAACAAAAGGTAAATTTATACTTTAGGTAGAGATGGGAAAATTCCCATTTGACGAAAATTCCCGGAAACTTTCCATCGAAAATTCCCGAAACTTTCAAAAAAATTTTTTTTATTGCGAAAATATTTTTTTTTATGCCAGGGATTTGCAAAAATATATAACACATTAACTTTTTGTCAAATTTTTGGTTGCATTAACGACATAGATTTTCTTACAGATCTTGCTTTGAGCATGGTCTTTTTTGTTTTTTTGCACTATTTTGTAATAATTCCAAACACTAGATTTTTCTCTTGGCATTGTGCTATGCTTATAAATAAACAACAAAAATGTAAGAATGATTTTAACTTTGTTTATTGTATTTATTTTGTTTACCTTTTTTTAAAAAAAGTTTTTTGTGTTGATCATCAACAGTTGATGCTGAATAATAATCATTGAGGTTATGCAACATAACTTACATTATTTATACTTCTTCTTCTGCTTTAAATTAACACAAATTAAATTCTTATTCAAAGTTTTTGGCCTTGTATCATGGCCTTAACGAAAATCAGCGGTTAAACAATTGAAATTTAAATGAAAAAAACAAGGAAAGTTTCCAAGGAATGTTTCCAAGGAATGTTTCCGGTAGCTTAAAAGAAACTTTCAAAATGAAAATAAATTTCCATTTGGAAACTTTCCAAAACGGAAACTTTCCTTAAAATGGAAACTTTCCGATTCCCATCTCTAACTTTAGGTACAAAAAAATTCTTACATAAGCTTTGTGATGATCATCACAACACATCACAACAAATTAGTTGACAAATTTGGTTCTTGAGAAAGCAGCATTTTTGGCATCAGTTCTAAAATTTGTATTTGTATATAACATTTACAAGAATAGTGAAACAAGAATGTATATTAACAAAGAACTTCAAAAAAATTTAAAATAAAGATATTTTTCTCCTTAATCAATTTCATGTTTACATAACTTTTTAACACCCTGTAGATAAAATTACAATTTTTTTAATGATAATGTTATTTTTTTAAAGATCAAAACTTTTTAACAAGTTTTTAAATAAATTTCCTTTTGTAAACTGGAATATCTAAAACTACTTAAATATTCATAAATTACCCATTATTTCACCCCCTGAAAAAACAGCAAGCTATCAATGTTATATACTTAAAAAAATATAAAGTAAAAAATTGTAATATATTCTTTGCAAAATTATTTGATGATTTATAATTTTATCATTTTAATTTTCCAAAATATAAAAAAGTTTAATTTAAAAATAAATAACATGTATATTATACTATTATATGTATATAAATTAAAATATTTACCTAGTAATATAATAAATATGATATAAATAATATCTAAGTCTACATCATATCATGACTGAAATTTTTTAATTTATGATTAATATCATTTTAATTTTACAAACAAATTGTAAAAAAGTTTAATTAAATAATAAATATTATGTATATTATATTATATATTCAGTTTTAACTTCTCTAATTATAAGTTGTTTATTAAAATGTTTTTTACAAATAAAATCTTTCTTTGAAAGAAGTTTGTCCTTACGCGGTATTTTCTTTTGCGAAAAAATTAATCTGTTCCTTGGCACTTTAACTAAAAAACTTTTTTACCCACTATTACATATAGGCACAAAACAAGTCTTAACCATTGTAATAATAAAATAGTCTTGGACACTGAATAAATTAACAAAAATTGCCTTCGTCTCCTTAATTTCGCATAGCCCTCTCTCGCGTTGTCTTCAGCGGCATAATACGGCGCGTTACATTACCAGTATTATGTACTATCATGGACCTAAGTATTAAGTTAAAGGCGTAATTCAAATATACAATAATGAAAAAATCAAATTCACTGGAGTGTAGCAGTTACATCTTAAATTAGGTTTCATTTTGAGCTTTTATTTATTAAGATTAATTGAAAATTGTTATAAAATTTTTAGAGAAATTCTGCCTTTAATTTTTGACTAAATTATCTGATTTTTCAACCCATTTTGGGAATAAATTTAGTCCATATCTATCTTTTTAAGATGGTTTAGAATATATCAAATTACTTTTTAATTAAAATAAACATTAAAAATCAAAATGTATGTTGTGTCTGATTTCAGCAAAGGAAGAGGAGAGTCCCGGCCGGCTGGTCCGATTACCAAGCCGCTTGGATCCCCGAAGAAGACGACGACTTCGTGTCGGACGCGTCCGATGACGACGACGAAGACAACTCGGACAAAGACTACATGGACGCAATGTCCGAGGAACGTTCGGACGTCGACGCGGACGAACGATCGGAGATGCAATCGGTCGCCGAATCGGAGGTTCCCGTTTCCGACGACAAGTACGATCAACAGATGGATCTGATGGGCGAGAAGGAGGCCCTGAAGAAAATCAAGGCTGCTAAGAGCGACGTTATGTTTCCCGATGAGATTGACACTCCGATGGATATGCTGGCCAAGGACAGGTTCACAAAGTACAGGGGACTTGAGAGCTTCAGGTAAAAAAAATAGTTTAGTGACATTGTACTCACGATGGATGTGTAAACATCAGGATGAGTGGAAGGTGGGGAACATTTTTATAATACCCACAACTTTTAAATTTTTTTAAATTTCCGAAATTCTTTTCAACATTTTTAAAATTCCCAAAATTTTCATACTTCCCACACTAAACTCGTCGTACCAGACAAAAGGTTGGAAAGAATTTCTGAGAATTTTAAAAATTTAAAAGTTTGTGGGGATTATAAAAATGTGTGAAAAAATAGCAAATCCAACCATATCTGCCATATTGGATTGATTTATTTCTGTCCCTCTCTAACTTATGCATAACCACTAATTTTTTACGCCACGGACAAACATGCCTCACGTTTACCCGACCCATGGTGGACTAGAATCGGCGAAAAGCGGCCAAAAATTCAGTTTTTGCAGATGAGCACATCTAAATTTATTTTCTTATAGAAAAACATTGAATATTTACTTGGTGTTTATGAAATAAAAAACAATTACCAATAAAATTTAAGTTATGGAGGCTTAAAGTTGACCAAATTTAGATGCAATAAAAAATATATTTTTTTCTTTAAAACTATTTAAGTTTAAATAGCTGTAACTTTAAAACTGATAAAGATTTTTTATTATTTTTGTTTATCTATTTAAAGTTTTATAGTTAAAAAATAAATGTCAACAATAACAATAATACAAAGTGCTGAAAAATTAACAATTTTTAACTTTAATTTAAGTAGGGAAACGTTTTTTGATAAAGATTTAGTAATTTTTTTAAATAAAATTTTAGATGTTAATCCATTTATTATTTTATAATATAAAATAAAAAAAAGATAAATATTTACAATGGTGCGACGAAGTGCTGAAAAATTACCAATTTTTAACTTTAAGTAGTTTTTTCTTTGGAAATCAAGCCTACCTAATTATATTAATTTTGCAGTCCAATATATTTTGAAAGATTATGTAAAATTTTCACAGTATCTGTCTGTGAAAGTTAATAAGCTGTATACGAGTTTGCTATTATTTATTAATTAATTATTAATTTGTATTTATAAAATTTAGCCATACAATAATAATTATTGTTAGGTATAGGTACAATAATTATTGTTAGGTATATTTATTATAATAGATGGGGGACATTGTGTCATTAAAGATTATTTATTCAATAAATACAAATAAAAATAAGTTATAATGCGGAATTCAGAAACAACATTGAATATTACAAGAAATCTAATTAAGAAGCTCGGAATTATTTTTCAAGCTTTGGAAATTGAAAAATAAATAGATGTTGAAAAATTTAATAATTATGCATTGGAGACTGCAGAGCTTTTTGCATCTTTATAGTTCGTACTATATACCTGCTTCAGTACATAAAATATTAATTCATGGGACAGATATAATATTTTTATTTTTCAAATTGGAAATTCCAATCGGCCAATTATAGAGGAGGCTTAGGAGTCTAGGAACAAGGACTTTAAATACTCTAGGAACATCATACTCAAAATGTATCAAGATCTACAACAAATGAAGACTTGTTTCTACAGACAAAATACTCTTAGTATATTCTTTCATATTTCATATAAGTATAAATAATACAAATACAAATAGTACAAATAATACATATTAAATCTTTTACAAGATTTTTATATTTAAACCAATATAAAATCGCCGCTACTGATCCAATTAAATTAAACCGAATTAAACATTTAGTCAAGTCAAGATATTTTATATTGTGTAAAATTTTCATAATAATGTTTTAAATAGTTTTTAAAATAATTTAATTTTAACTTACTTTAACAAACTTTTAATAATTTGAGGCCACTACTGATTGAATTAGATTTAAATTTGTACAGAATTAAAACTATTAATATACAAACCTTGTCTTTAAAGTTTATGATGATATTTTAAAAGTTTTTAATATAATTAAATTTTTAACTTATATTTATTAAGTATTATTTACAAAATTTTAATAATTTAAACCCATATCACAGCCACCGATCCAATTCAATTAAAATATGTATAATATCAAGATTAATACCACAAAAATATGGTGTTAATTTTATAGTGATATTTTAATTACTTTTTTATATGGATTTTGGCCACTTTTTTGCCATTTCAGCCCACTGTACGTCCCAAAGGACACATTAAAAAAAATAGTTTTATTTCTTAAACCTAGTCAACTTAGAGATTAATATAGACTAATTATGAATCTTAAAAACCAAAAAAAATATAATTATGTTAAATTTAATAAATTAAAACTAATTTTTAATTTAACTCATGCGTAAGTAAATTTTTAAATAAAATAATTGTTTACTATAGAACTTCGCCCTGGGATGTATCAGAAAATTTACCTAGTGACTACACAAGAATTTTCCAATTTAAAAACTTTGACAGAACCAAAAAACGCATTCTTAAAGAACAAGAGGATGTTGATGGTGCAATGGTAAATAAATCTATTATCATATTTTTAAATTTAAACCTAACATCCTGATTTTTTTAGCCTGGTTGGTACATTACTGTCTACGTTCAAAACGTTTCACAATTGTTGTGGTCCACTTTTAAACAAACTGAAGCTCCAGTTGTTTTAATGGGTCTGTTCCCCAACGAACATAAAATGACTGTGGTCAATACAGTATTGAAAAGAACTCCATACTATAACTTTCCCATCAAATCAAAGGAAAGGCTTATTTTCCAATGTGGATTTAGAAGATTCGCTGTAAACCCCATTTTCAGTAACCACACAAATGGACAGAAACACAAGGTAAGATATTATTAACTAGAAACAAAAATTGTGTAAAATACAAACTGTATTTTTAAATATAAAAAACTGTGTTTTTAAACATAAAAAATGTGTTTTTAACATGGGATAAGTAAAAACAAATATTTAGATTTTTAAAAGTAAGTATTGGGTTGTAAACTGTATTTTTTTTTAGTTTGAAAGGTTTTTCCAACCAGATTCAACTTCAGTAGCAACTTTTTATGCTCCCATTCAATTTCCACCAGCCCCTGTTCTTTGTTTCAAAGAAGTTAATGGCAATTTAACATTGGTAGCTACTGGCAATTTGCTGTCTTGTAATCCAGATCGTTTGGTTATAAAACGAATTGTTTTATCAGGTAAAATATTTTTTTAATCATCTTAATTCTAATCGTACATATATTGAATGTGGAATCGTAACCGTTATTGTAATCGTCTAGCAATAATCTTTAATCACTAGTTTTTACCCAATATATACTTTAGTCTTACTTGGGTATACTTTAAAGCTTTTAGAAATTGTTGCTTATGTAAAATCTATGATATTGCTTTAGGACACCCGTTTAAAATCAATAAGAGATCTGCTGTTATAAGATTCATGTTCTTCAATAGAGAAGATATTGAGTACTTTAAGGCTTGCAAATTAAGGACTAAAATGGGAAGAATTGGTCATATAAAAGAACCTCTTGGTAATGTTGACAAATTATGTAATATTATTTAAATTAATAAAAATTATTTTGTAGGTACTCATGGTCACATGAAATGCGTGTTTGATGGACAGTTAAAATCACAAGATACAATTTTACTAAACCTGTATAAAAGAGTTTTTCCTAAATGGACTTATGAAGAACTGGTTGTAAGTTGTGCCAATAATGACACTATGGAGACACTTTAATTTATTGTTTTTTTGGTTATATTATTTATCCAGTTATAGAAATGTTAAATTAAGGAATAAAATAATTATTGATAAAATATTTCTTTTATTATAACACGAACAATCTTCCACTATCCTTTTTTAAATGTCAATGGGAAAAAGTCGATCTTTTTGGCAGTGGTACCGAAGTGTTTACATACTCGCCTAACGCATTAATATACATGGCAAAACTATTTCATATTTGTATTCCACTGAGTTTTAATTTTTAGTATAAAAAGTGTTTAGACAAAAACATTTTATTCTGACATTTCTAAATATGTTATGAGAACAGCGCGTTTCAAGAACAATGCAAATAAAATTGGTCCCAGCGCAGTTCCCTGCGGCACTCCGTGGGTAGTTTTCCGTTTGTCACACCATTAAACTTTACTTTCTGATACCTATTGCTCAGGTAAACCACTTATGCAATGTTCCCATTAACCCAATTTTTTCCAACTTTTTTAACAGTAAATCTCGATTGATCGTCTCAAAAGCGCGCTTAAAATCTAAAAATACAGCCAAGATTATCTTGTTGTTGTCCACCTATCACAAATTTGAATTATTACCTGTTTTGTTACATGTGTTAGATTGGGTAGAAGTATTTCGGGAATTGAAAGAAGTAATGGTATAAGTGTGTAATATCTAATAATTTTTGGAGCTTAACATCATATGGTTAATATTGATGCAGACAAATAAATAATAGATTCCACAAGCAATTGCTGGATTATTTTTTAAAGGTTATGAAAATTAAAACAACTTTTATAAAACAATAGTTTATTAAAATAAAAACATGAGAGCAACATCACAACAGCACTTAAAAATAATTAAAGCTAAGTACAACATAAAATCAATATAAAACATTGATTCGCTAATACATTTTACTAAAATCGATAATTTAAAAGTTTTTCCCAAAAACTTTAAAACAACTATTTTATGGTATCATGATGGAAACTTAAATACATATATTACAGACCCTATTTCTATGGAGATTATAAAATCTACAGTCACTAGAGCGGTTTTAAAATTATTGAGCGTTAGTTAGATTTGCTATTGCTGATAATTGATTAATTGTCGTGGTTTCCAAAGTTGCCCTCTGCATGAAAGCCTTTATGGGGATGAGCGTCATAGTTGACCATTTGCAGTTTACCGGTCTTATCGTAAAATCCATAATGACCCTTGACCACCCCATCATTGTCTCTCTCTTCAAATCTGAACTGCCTGTTGTGACTAAAAAATTAAGTTGTTCAGTTTTCACTTATGTTGACTTTATTATCAAAATACACTGCGTTTTTAATTTGGGAGATTTTTTACGCTAAAGCAGCGGTGAGATATAGCGCTATTAAATTTGTTTATTACTTTGTTAGGTACCGTCAAACGGGGCGAATCAGGACTAAGGGGTCATTCGGGACAAATCGACGCCACCTTAGAAGTTACGCGATTTTGCACATTTGGCGAAACTCTTGTTGGTACTGGTACTTAAAATGATTTTTGAGCTCCGTCAATTTATTTAGAGTATCTCAAACATTTTAGTCACCTGTTGCGCCTAAGCAAAAGTTTGTAAGTTTTATAGTTTTTTTTAATCATTTTTTTATTATTCTTGTCACTTTATGGCGTTAATTGGGACAATGGTCCGCACCTATAAAAGAACCCCTGTGGGGCAAAATTTATCAAAATTATGACCTGCGAACATTACAAATAGCGTTGGGTCAGATCCGAAGGAAAAGGATGACCCTCTTGTTTTATCTGCCAATTAAAATATAAAGGGCTTTATTTTAGAAGGAGCTAAATAAATAGGCTTTTCTAATATGACACCATCAATAAAAAAATTTGAAAACTGTTTTTTTTATTTTTTGTTCCTATTGACCCCTTACTTAATCAAACATTTTCGAGCAAATAAGCCTCTGTCCTGATTGACCCAAATGCGGGGTCAATCGGGACACCTCTAAAAATATTTAACTAACTATCTTCAACTTTTTATGGAATAATGTCATACAACTTATGGTTTAGAGGTCAAATTGTTTATTTATTATTTTTAAATAAATATATATTAATATGTCGCAAAATTTTTTAAGGAGACGACAAATACATTTCACTGTCATATTATGACAGTGAGGCGTATTTGTCGTCTCCTGAAGAATTTTACGACTGTAGAATACAACATATTGGAAAAAGGGTATCTGACATATTTGGAAATATTCTCAAAAGCTTCCTAGAAGCTCCATAAGAAACCTTCTAATAAAATTCCATAAACGTATTCTTAAAATGATCTTAAGATGCTTTTTAGGAAGATTTTAAGAAGCTTTTAAGAATCTAATTGCATCATTAAAAGGGTATCTATTGAATGTTTTAAAAGTCCCTAAGAACATTCTTAGCAATAAGGGAAGGTTCTAAAAATATTCCATTATTCCGGGTCATATCTTTTTAGAAGATTCTTAAAATCAAATTTTGCTATCAGGGAAGTATTTAGTCACTTTTAAATTTAAGGACTCAAAATGCCCTTGTATAGGTACAGACAATATTTGTATATTTAAAGTTAATCAAATTACAACTTATTAGGCCCGTGTGCACGGGGGGTTTGGGGGTTTAAACCCCCCAGGAGGGTTTTAACTACAATTTTCACTTTTATGAAATTTGACTTGAAATAACCTCTAAAATTTTACTTAAAATACTGAAAAATATATAACTATATTTTTATAAAATTTGATAACATCCCCCTCCCCCTAAAAGCAAATACTGCGCACGGCCCTAAACTTATAATACCTGTATTATTTAAAAGATTTGCATGTAAAAATCTGCAAATTTTGTATGATTATTTAAAACCAACGTAGTTTTAATTAGTTGTTAACAAGGAAAAATAAAATTTAATAAAAAAGCAAACCATAATATAGTTTCTAGAAAGTTGCTTTATAAATAAATTAGACTCGGTACGTTTTCTGGTTAATAAAAGGCGTACCAATATTTTTACAGATGATTTATCTGGCCTTCGATTAATTTTTTTCGTGTTACGTTACCTGAATGGTAAATTGAATTTTCTACCAAAGAAAAACAGGGAAGTAGACTGACTAATTTGTAATGCATTGGTGTAACTAAATTAACCAGCTGGCAGCCTTGCAAGTTTTATTTGAATAAAACATAAGTGCAGCTGAATAAAAAAAATTGGATTAATATTCGCGGTTGTTGTCTTTTGCCTTTTGTAAATGTAAGTTACTTATTTAGATCATTTGATTAGCATTGACCAGATTCTTGCCAAGATGTATTATGCAACATTTCAATAAATTTCATTATTTACGTAAAAAAATGGAACAAGCATGTGCGCTTTAGAATTGGCAATAAATAAGCTGCAGTTATAAAAAACTACATGTAAATGTAATGAAATAATAGACGCATTATAAATCCTTTCAATAATAAGTTATTGCAAAAAATAAATAAAAAATAAAACAATAAGTCTGCAAAATATTTAGGAATTATCTTTTTTTTTTCTATAATCCAAAGTAGTTTAGTGTCAAATTTAACCGGTCAAAAAATTTGTTTTATTTAAGAAAATAGAATTATATTGTAAAAATATATTTTGGCAGTAGAATTTTTTACTTTGTAACCAAAATAGTTATTAAGAAGTGTGTAACATTTGTGTTAAATGTCGATAGATAATAAAACAATTTCTGATTAATTCCATAAACATAATATGGTATTTTTGATTTCATTAGTGATTAGGTAAATTAGTTATGTAGTAATAAATTATTCTTTACAAGGTAAACGTTACAAAAGACCGACACCAAAAAGGTTAATAATAATTTTTCATCGAAACGTCTAAAAAAAATAAGTTGTGACATTTTCTAATATTTCTTATTTTTGCCCACAGTTAATTTAATTGAATACCTACATAATTAGTTTTTATGCGGCAATTATGAAATTTGGATATACTGGCAAATTTCGTACTCGCAACTAATTTTTTAGATTTAACCAATAACCGAAATTATTATTATTAGGTGTGGATTGAGAAATCCCAAACATTTATCGAGAAAAAATAGGTGAAAGTGTCGGAAAGCAGGTAGCAAGAAAATTATAGCTAAAATTGCATGTTTCGAGTCGACTCGGTCGATTCACAATGGCGACCAAATACGGATACGGATTTGGATACGGTACTTAGAGTTGTAGTAATGCACGAAACTCTCAATTTTACTTGTTTTGATGCTATTTTTATTCCAATGCTTGTGTATTAAGTAATAATTAAACAAGTTTGAGGTGCTGAAACCAAACTATATATCAAAATTGCTCCATCACGTAAGGTTTTCGTGAAATTCTGATCCAAAAGCTGGAAAATGCAGCTTTGACGTTAAATTTAATCTAAAATTCATTTCAATTATTTTCTTTTTATCTAAAAAATAAACATCAACGCGTTTTTTATATTTTTGGGTTGGAATTTTTCAAAAACCTGATGGAACAATTCTGAGATCGGGTTCGAATTTAACGCATCAAAAACCTTTTAAAATAGTTTGATTTCAACAATACATTAAACGGTTGGTTACATTTAGTAGACCTGTGTTAGGGGCCGTCCATAAATCTCCTGACGCTGGGAGTGGAGGGGTAGGGGAGTTCGATAATTCGACACATTTGGTCACGAGGGAGGGGAGAGGGTCAAGTTTGACTATTATTAGCGTCACGAGATTATGGACGGCCCCTTATTTGAAAGAAATAGTTAATATAAAATAAAGAAGTTGCACATAAAATTAGTTTTTATGAAAGATTTTAGGAAAAATTGAAAAAAGTATATAGGTACAGTTCTTTAAGTTAGATACTGTATTTTGCTAGATTTAAATATGTAAATTTGCTCATTTGTTAAAAATAGGAAGAAGAAAGCATTAGTTACCCTTTGCCAGTATCAAAACCCCATTTATAACTGTATGGTCCAGCGTGACCCACCATATGAAAATCAATTCTTTCGCCAGATGAAGCAGAATGAAAAGGTATCCCCAAAGAGGAAGTTATGTCAGTACTCAAACCAGATTGATCTTGTATGTTAGACGCAGCTCCGACAGGTTCTGCGTTATGATTGTTAGAGGGTTTATTTATATCGTTTGCTACCTTAATTTGTCTTTGGTTTTCTTTTTTGGCGAGCTTGTCGAAGGTTTTGTGTAAATTCTTTTGCTTGGTGATGTACTCAGCTTCGTTGATGGCTTGAAGGATGATTTCTTGTTTGGGCTTGCTGGAAAATGGTTTTTCTTTCGTGTGCAACTCTTTGTTGTACTTCTTGGGGAACTGGTTGGTGGGCAACTGTTGCCTGGTAACCAACGCTGGTACCTCGAAGTAGAACTTGGGGTCGTGGTTTGGGTTCCATTCCGTTTCAACTGGTGCCACCAGGCTTTGAGATGGAATCGGCGATTTGTAGTAGTCCGGTTGGTTTTCCTCGTAAACAGGCGCCCTTAGATCGGTGCTAGGTTCGGGGCTAAAAAAGGGTACCGTAGCGACGCCTTCGCGGGGTAATTCCAAACTGAGGGGTAGTTGAGGGGGAAGCTCGTACGAGTCCGATTGCACTTGTTCGAAGGATTTGGGGTTGTAGTCTGCTTGTCCTGCGGGTGCTCTTGCGTATCTCTGGTTCACGAAGGGACTTGCGGCTTGTGATAAAGACACTAGTCCAATAAGGGTTACCTGTAAAAGATGTTATGTTTTACTTTGTTTAATGCAATTTGGTTATATTTTGTTTTAAATATGTAAATTAAAATTTTATAGTATGTATCAAGTTTTATAGGTGCCGTTTTAGTTACAAGTTTATTAGGCAGGATCAAAGCTTGGAAGCCAATGATTGATATAAACGAGTGTCTAGAGATGTTTATAAAACGAGTTGCATATACTTTATCTACGACGAACACAAAAAAGAATTTAAAGCCAATTTTAGTTGTTTAACATTTAACTCTTCTCCAATTTATAATAAAGCTAATTTCAGCACAGTCTTGTGTTGTCTGCTGAAGCAGACAGGTCGTAGACCCTGATAGCAAAATTTGATTCTAAGAATCTTCTAAGAAGATATGACCCGGAATAATGGAATATTCTTAGAACCTTTCCTGATTGCTAAGAATGTTCTTAGAAGGTTTCTTATGGAGCTTCTAGGAAGCTTTTGAGAATATTTCCAAATATGTCAGATACCCACGTTCTAATATGTTGGATTCTACATTCGTAAAATTCTTCAGGAGGCGACAAATAGGCCTCACTGTCATAATATGACAGTGAAATGTATCTGTCGTCCCCTTAAAAAATTTTGCGACATATTAATAAATATTTATTTAAAAATATTAAATAAACAATTTGACCTCTAAACCATAAGTTGTATGACATTATTTCATAAAAAGTAAAATTGGAAAATTTTGTGGGATAAGTCAGATTAGATTGAAGTTGAAGATAGTTAGGATTATTATACATAAAAATGTTAATTCAGATATAAAAAAATCGGTATACAAATTAATAAATATTTATTTTTAACATAAAATAAAATATAAAAAAACAAAATATTTCCTTATAAAATAATTCTTCATAAAAGAAAAAACCAAATAGTTCTTCATACAAAAAAACATTTTTCATTGTATTTAAGTTGGATAGAAGATTTCATGTAAAAGCCGCATAATTTAGATACCTATAGTAAAAGTATTTTTGTTATCGAATATTGTTTTAATTTGACAAATAACTATAAAAAAATATTTTGGGTTGTATTTTTTACTTAGCATTTATTACTAAGTATATGTACCTTTATACGTAGATTTTACTATATTTTACTATTATATAGGTACCTAACTGAACTGAATATGCTTAACAGAATGTTCCAGGAATATTCCTAAATGAACTTTCTATAGCAATTACTTTCTCATCATTCTAAGCAAATGTTTAGAGTGGATTAATTTTTACCACGAAACTTTGTACCTTCTAAGAACCTGCCTATAGGCCAGTGAGAATATTCTTAGGATTATGCTATATTTCTTTTAAGCATGTTCTTTAGAAGAAATATAGCTTGATCCTAAGAATATTCTCACTTGAAGGTTTAAAAAACATTCTTAGAATATGACTACAAGAAATATAGCATGATCCTAAGAATATTCTCACTGAAAGGTTTAAAAAACATTCTTAGAACATGACTAGAAGAAATATAGCATGATCCTAAGAATATTCTCACTGGAAGGTTTAAAAAACATTCTTAGAATAAACTGTGCTATCAGGGGACGGCCTTCCTTGAGAGGACAATATGGGACTCACAGCACAAAATAAGCTGGTATACCATCAAATATATAAAATCTACATCAGACTGAATATTTTACAAGAATCCTGCACAGCAGATGGATAAAATATATATGGAAACAAATCGTCAAGCAGACATTGGACATTTAACGCATGCTTGAGTTTAAAAAAAAATACATGAAAAACAAACTGGTATGAAATATTTAATGGTTAAGAAAAATATATGGATGATTGTAAAAGTGTAAGAATAATGTTGTGTGTGATGATAAGTAATTTTGGACAATGTTAAATATATTGAAAAGAAAAGAAGAAAGAAAATGGACATATTAATAAATAAACAAGAATATATCAAAAAGTGTGGGAAAAAAATTAAAGTGATACAGTGAAAATTGTGAAAGAAATTAGACATAAAATAATACTAAAATGAACTATGAACAATAATAAAATAAAATAAATGATTCAAGGGATAAGTTGTTCTCAGATTCTCTTAATTGAGACCCTTGATCATATTAAATTTTCAAAAAACATAATGAGCTGGCTAAATAGCTTTTAATTAAGCTAAATGCCATTACCCCTGAACACAGTACGTCTGTGTTCAGATTGAAGAAGAAGACGAAGAACTTCTGCCCGTGACTAAAAAGCCATAAAGTCACAGCTTGTCAATGTAGTAGTAGATAATAGTTATTTGTTTTACAAGTGTTGAAAAGCGACTTTTTCATGCGAATGTTTAAGTTGCTCACGAGGCCGTTAAGCTTGAAGAAAGCTTTTCTCATAAGTGAAATACAATGTTTTTTTTCTACGACTTACGACTTTTATTATTTTAAAATACATAACAAAATAACCTAAAAACGTCCACATAGACCTGTCCATTTTCACACAGACCTTTTCACACAGAAATGTCACTTTACATTCAAGTTTCGCCTTGCCAATGAAAAGTAGTATTCATTTTCTAAGCAACGATGCCATTACGAAATGTAACTTTTACATAGTGGTCGTAGAAAAAATTCTTTTGCAATGTTTTGATTATTCAGGGAAAACTAAAACTCTTTAATATTTTATGTACTTATTATAATAAAAAACATTCATAACTGAAAAAATATGATATTTATTATAAATTTTACCAAAAAAAAATTTTACATATAATATAAACATTTTAAGATCATTATTTCGCAATGAAACCACAAATGCAAACATATTTTTGTCGCACCCTGTAATAAAACAAACATTCATTATTCAAGGCAAAAAGTCGTACAAGATCCTATCACCTCAATAAATTATTGCATGTTGTTACGCCTTAACAACTTCATTGTATTATTTGTCCATTATTATTTTATTATCTTGTCAATATGTCATAGGGAAATGCATGCAAATGGTCAGTAGTAACTACTGTTTATAAATCGTATACGATTAACAAAAGAAAAAAATGAACCTTGGTTTATAACCTTAGGCCCTCTAACCCATATGTTAACTATTCGAAAATATGTAGGTGACCATAATTATTTCAAGCCCATATACCATGAATATCATATTTATTAAAAATACTAAAGGTCATACCTGTTTTTAATTAACCTTATAGAGGAAATAAATATGTATGTACCTACATTTAGATAAGTAGATTATAATAATAATAATAATTTATATGTTGCAATTAAATAACATTTAAATATTCATTACCCATTTCGCCGTCTGTAAAAGTGGTTTGGTTATTGTTTTTTTATGCAGGAAGGTGTTAATACTCAGGAAGAAATTTCCACCTTATAGCTTTAATAATTAGCCATTTTAAACTGATTTCATAACGCACTATATTAAACAGGTACAGGTCAACAACTTAAATAGTCTCTATAACACACTATAACAAGAATTTTATATAATATTAAATATTAGGTTTGTTTTAGTACATTAATTCATTGCATTAAAAAAACTTTCTTATAAGTTTATGTATAATAATAAAGACAATAAAGTAAATAAATAACCAAAACTTCCTCGGGCTAAACAAATATTGCGGTTATATCATAATTTGCATAAAAGGCTTGTAAAATCAGCGCAATAATTTTTTATTTTAATTTTATATGCATGACATGTGTTAATAAAAACGATTAGATAATCTGTATTCAGCTCAGATATGCAATTATTTTTTTGAAATTTGGAAAAAACAATAGCAATTGTAAAAATCTTAAAGTTCAAGATTAGCTTTTTCAACTTGACCTCCATAATTAAATTTTATTGACCCTTTAAAAGGTAATTATCCACCTGCTACATACATCGTTTAATAAACTGTTTATGACAATAAATTTGTATTTTTAATAAAAATATTACTGCCTATTTTTTTGCAAAGGAATACTTATTTATTTATTCATATACATATTTATTTTTATATGTATATTATAATGCCTTATAGGGTGATTCAAAAAATCTACTATTCTTTTTTTTGACTTCTGATATCGAAAATTTGGTTGATTGTCACCTATACGTACTAGCTCCCAGTATTACTAAGATCCTTCTCATCGCAATTTTACATTTTTACATTAGTCTATGAAATACATTTGTATTTTAAGCCCAATACACATTTTGATGGAAAATTGAATGTTCTCCAAAAAAGGTATCGTATGTTTTTTTTTGTAAACCTAGCCGTTAAAAAGATATTTTAGGTCAACGTTTATAAACTTTGACCTAAAAATAGTGAGACTTAATACGTAGGCTTCTATTGGGGTGAACAGCAACCAATTTTTCGAAATCAAAAGTAAAATAGCGTTACTATGTGTATCTATTTGCGTAATATTTGGTTTTTCCGTATACGTATAATGATTACCTTTATAACCACCCCATGTAGCAACGACAATAATAAACTTATTATTTCCGTTGTTAGTTAAGCAATGGTTTATTAACTAGTGCATAATAAAACTCGTGACCCTATTGGCGTATATAAAACTTGTTACATAGTTGATGTAACATAATATACTATTAAATGAAGTTATTATTTTTTTAGTAAGTCTTAACCAAGTCAAAATTACTGTTTATAGATATAAGAAATTTATAAAATAAAACATTTAAATTTAATACTATAAAACCTAATATGATTAAAAAATGCAATTTATCCTGAAAAAATCCCATTTTTAAATAAGTTTTATGAACATTAAAAAACTGTATTGATATTAGTATTTCTTTTGTAACATCAAATCCTTATATATAAGTTACATAATAAACCTAATAAAATAAAATTTATAAATTGCAAAAAAAGCCAGTGGTTCTAAAAATATTTGAAATAAACTAAAAATATTTTAAAACTAAAAAATCGTTATTACTTCGCTAGTACTGGGAATTTTGAACTACATTTTCATATAATTTCTTCGCTACTACATTTTGAGTTACCAGCACCATCTTTTGTTTTTATAATGGCCGCCATAACTTATGTAAAACATGTAAAATTTCAATATAGAACCAAAAAAAAAACAAAAAAACAAAAGATGGTGGTAATAACTCAAAATCTAGTAGGCGAAAAAAATCACAAATTTGATTAAAATGTAGAAAGATGTGTATGTTTAACTGGAAAAGGAATAAAGGTTATTAAAAAATACACCCATACATATATTTATATAACATAATATTATTATGTTTATTTCCATAATGGACCATTTTATTTAAAAAAAATCAAATTCAAGGAGGTACACATTCTAGCATAAAACATTTCTAGGTGAGTTTGTTGAGCCATAAGCTATAAGCCATTCCTAAGTTGGTAGTCGTTCCGCTTTTCTAAAGTTCAATAACGAAATATATTTATTATAAATTTATTTGTTGCCGTTAATTGAAGATTTATCTGCAAAATTTGCATTCGAATTTAGTGTGAAAAAACAGAGAAAGTAATTTGTATCGGTTCAAGTTCACTGTTACAGCCGGGTTACAAAGGCGGCGAATTTGCTAAAAAGTGAAAGGAAAACGAAACCGAAAGTTTCCAGCTTACCATTGATTCATAGGTTATCTTATGCGACAATATTTTTTCGTCAGAATTCATGTATATTCAAAATCAAAGTCGGTTATATAATGATGTTACAGTTTCACAATAAAAAGGTTAATGAAGATGTTTTAAACAATGTCAACTGCTTATATGATTCTTATAGGAACCATCACGAGAAAACCATTTAACAAAAGTGGAAAAAAGTTTTTGTTAATAGTTAAAAAATTCTTTCGAAAAATGGATTCAAAATTAATTTATCTCAAGCGTCCTATAATTTAATTATAATAATTATTATGGTCAACGAGTGGTGATCACCACTAAAGTATTCGATTTATCCACTTTTAGTATGAAATTTAGGTGGGTAAGTTTAATTATTCTGAACTAAATCAAAATTATTAAAATTACAAGAGGATTTTGTTTCAAAATCAACTGTCTACAAAATGTTGTAAACACTTTTAGTGATGACCATAAATTTGTACAAGATTTAAACAAAATTAGGTACAAAGGAAAAAAAATATTTTACATTTTATTCAAACTTTATAAAAGTTTTTGCTTGTTTTCAAACCCCCAAAATATGTGACCCATCATAATTAATGTTTATAATTTGCAATTTTGATTTTTCAGAACTGACTGAAAGTTTTAGTCAGTTTTCGTTCATTTATTATTTCTCAAAAGTAATGGTTTCTATTGACATGTTCAAAGCTTTAATTTTGACTTTATTGCCAAAAATACATTTTTCATCGCCATTTTATGCATTTTCTATACTTCTTCATAAGTAAAAATTAATGAATAATAATTAATCAGTGGAGATTCTCGCAAGATTTCTAGTTATAATAACATTTGTTAAAAAGAAAATGGCAAATGAAGGATGATAACCTACCAAAAATGATTTTTACTAAAAGAAGAAAATCCTAAATTTTCATAAAAATCAAAATTGCAAATTAACCATAGACCATAAAAATAATGTGTCGCATATTCTGGAGTTTTGAAATCAAGCAAAAACATTTATTAAGAATGAAATTTCTAAAAAATGTAAAATATTTTCTTTTTAACCCCATCCGTGGACAGGTACTGATCAAGCCCGTCTGAGCTACTTATAAAACCCTAATTATTAAGTTTTACACAACGGCTGAACCTGTTGAAATTATTTTAATTTATGGTGCACAAAATCGTTGTACATTACCAACTGCAGTGGCATTTAATGAACTACACCCTGCCAAAAATGTGCGTCATAAATATGTTCAAGAGCTGGTTGCAAAATTTGAACAAAATGTATCTGTTTGCAATCGAAAAAGAAACCAATCTAGGATACTCAATGAAAAATCACAAATTTCACCCATTTAACAAGAACTTATAATAATAATATTTATTTTTTCTATAAAATATCTACAAGGTATTAAAATACAAGAAAATATAACATAAAAAACGTCAAAGGAAAAACAAACAACTTCGCGATGATGATGCAGACAGTAATTTAGAATTTTGTGAAATCATGACCAATAAAATAACAAATCGGATCAAAATACTAAAAAAACATTTTCTTCAGCATTAGTGCACTTTTTATTTAAATGGAAATGTTAACAAGCGAAATTGTCGTTATTGGAGCAATAAAAAACCTCATCTCATCAGAGAAAATCATACCCAGTATCCTGAAAAACTTAATATCTGGGCAGGAATTTTGGAAGATGAATACATTAGTCCCTTATTTATTGGCCAAAATTTAAATGGTAAAATTATTTTAAAATGTAGGTACTAATAATAAATTAACTAGAAAATCAAAGAGAAAAGGATTATGAACTAGCTTTGGATGAAAATTTATTACATTATATAGAAGCTGTTAGGGCTTGACTGGATCAGAATTATTCAGAACAGTTTATTGGTACTCACAATTCTATTTTTGGCACTTAGACCCTTTGGGAATACCAAGCTTCAATTATTATAATAATAATTATTATAAATTTATGCCGTTTTCATATTTTATTGGATTTGTATACATTGAAATAAGTTGGTATTGGGCAGTTAAATTATAAAACAAATAATAAAAACAAAAATATTGATAAACGTATTAAAAGTGAATTTCTTTTTATAAGCACAAAATGCATTTTAGTTAGTTTAAAATTGTAATGGCTTTAATTTACATAGTAAGAATATAGTATATTATGTATCAAGTTTGATAAACGCCATTTTATACACGAATTTAATTTAGGTACGAGCGAGCTTGCGAGCGAGTGCTTAAATTAATGAGTGTATAGAAAAGTTTATAAACGAGGTCATACGTTACTTTTTCTACGACAAATACTTATTATTATCTTAAAATGATTTAAATCAAAAATTTGTATAGAGCGCCATTTATGAAACAATAGGGGAATCTGTGTGTCACCGTCAAATGTCAAATTTTTGTACTACTATTTAATACTTTTGTAATTTTGTATTGAGATCATAAAATAATTTTCTCATTTAGTATTATTTTACAAAAAAGGCACTTTATTTTAAATAACTTAAAACTAACTTCAGCCCCTGACTAAAAACCTGTTGCTAACTTCAGCCCGTGACTAAAGCGCCATAAAGCCACAACTTGTCAATGTGTATTTAAAAGGTCACTTAGTGTCATGTACAATAAAGGGCGTTTTAAAAGTGGGAGTAGAAAAAATTAATAAAATAAGTAACACCGGCGCATTCGCCATTTTTGTCATTTTTAATATTCAAACGCAAAAAATAAAATAAGTAAAACAAGGTCACAAAATAAAAAAGCCAATAAATAAATCTTCACAATTTAGTACCTACTATATTATATCTAAATTACCCATTTACAACATATGGACAATAATCCGTCTAATTACCATAATAAAAAAATATATGATGTTTAAGAATAACGTTTTCAATAGAAATTTAATCAACAATCCATTATTTGCAAATAAATAAATCCTGTAATACAAAAACTATTGTAAAACTAAATCAATGAAGCAAAAAATAGGTGACAAAAAGATTTCATAGGACATATTACTTTTCTTCTAAATTTCCATGGTTATTGTCATTGTTTAATAATTAAATATTAATCCTTTAGGTTAAAAATTAAAGCCTGAAGTGCCGTAAAATTAAAACAAAAAATGTTACACGCCAATGAACAACAAGTTTTAAGTTTAAATGAATTAGTTTTACTATTATTATTATTATTTTTATTAATTTATGAAAGTTATTAACCACACATTCAATAGTATTTATATTATAGTTTTAATGCTGTTAAAATGTATTTTCTTTTATTATGTAAATGTTTTTATTGATTACAATCTTATAAAATGCAACTCATGTATGTTTAAATAAACAGTTTTATACATTTATTTATATTTTCGAATAAAGAATGCATTCTTTTTTATTTTATTTGGCATAAATTATATAAGTTTGTTGCAAAACGAGGATCATTGGTAATGTAGCTATGTATCCACTCCTTAAATTAATTCTGTTTTAGTAGGGTATTTCATTTAAAAAATATATATTCAAATTTGAATGTGAGTTCGTATTAAAAAACGTTGTTTTCGCAATTTCGATAAATCAAAAGCTGATTAAGCAAAATGATTAAGCTTTAAAAAAACTAAGACAAATATTTTAGCTTTTATTACAATTAATTTTTGAAATATTTTACTTCATTACTAAGCACGAGTGAGCTTTCGAGCTGGTGCTTAATTAAATGAGTGACTAGAAAAGTTTATGAACGAGTTGCATACTATACTTTTTCTACAACAAATACTTTTAAAGTATATTTTCATATACAGCGACATCTATAAAACAATAAAGTAACCAACTTCTGAATCTTTATTACCAGCGCGCCGGAGAAAATATCAAATTTTATGTATAAATCGAAATGTATCTCTTAAAAATGGACAGTTTGGTCCGGTACACAAGCAATTGAGAAACTATTTAATACTTTTGTATTTTTGTATTGAGATAATAAAATAATTTTTACATTTAGTATTATTTTAACAATTTTATAAAATTTGACAACTGTCAACTAACTTAAAACTAACTTCAGCCCGTGACAAAAAATATGTTGCTAATTTCAGCCCGTGAATAAAACGCTATAGCCACAACTTGTCAATGTGTATTTAAAAGGTCACTTAGTGTCATGGAAACATGTACGATAATGGGCGTTTTAAAGGTGGGAGTAGAAAAAATAATTTCATAGAAAGTTCCTGGCCACTAAGTCTTAGAAGGAAGTATATTACTTAAATTGCTATGTCATTTGAAAAAACACGTAATTGTCATAATAAGTATGATAACTATTACCTAATAAACCAGTTATAAAATTGTTATTCTAATAAAGCCATTGTTTGTAGTGTTGAAGTTATTTTATAAATCATTATAACAGTAACTAGAGTAAAAAGTTTTGCAATAAACATATAAATATTTATATGAATGCCATTTTTTCTTA